TGGCTTTCAGTGACCTTTGACTTGACAAGCATGTCGTCAATGTACACTCCATTGTTTTGCAATTTGTTCGACAAACATTTGATTCATCAAACGCTAATAGGTTGTTCCAGTGTTCTTTAGGCCAAATGGCATAACCATGTAACAATAGATACCCCGGTCAGTAATAAATGAGGTGCGTTCATCATTGGGCTGATACATCGAGATTTGATTATATCTCGAGTAAACATCCATGAAGCTTAGTAGTGCATTCCTGGCTATCGCATCTACTAGTTGACCGATTGGGGTAGTGAAAAGTTATCCTTGGGACAAGCCTTGTTTAGGTAGTGAAGTCGACGCAAGTCCGCCACTTGCCATTCGACTTCTTCACTAAGACCAAGTTAGCGAGCTAGTCTGGGTACTTTACTTCCCAAAGGAAGTTGATGTTCAAGAGCTTATCAACTTATCCTTGAGTGCTCTGGATCACTCAGCATCCATAGATCTCCTCTTCTATCTTATTGGTCGAGCCCCTGAGTAGACATTCAATTTGTGGCACATTATCTCGGGGCTGATCCCTACCATGTTTGCATGTACCTAAGCAAACACATCGAGGTTTTTCTTTAGGAACCCCACTAGACTGTTTACTAGTTCATCGCTTAGACTGCTCCCAATTTTCAACATGCAGGTTGGGTCTTCCTCGCTGATAGGTATTTCTCGCAACTCTTCTATTGGCCCTACTATAGGCCCTTCTTTATGGATATAAGGATCTATGGTGTCTTCCAGAGATCTAGGCTTTGGGTCAGACTCAGCAATGACCATGGTTCTCGAGGGCGGCCATTTTTGTGCAGTATGAATGGCCCAATTATAACACTCCCTAGAATCTTTCCTATAACTCTTGATTGTTGCGACCTTGCCTAGAGTTGGGAACTCATTGCTTGGCAGCGCACTGAGGTGACTACCCCACAATGACATTATAGGTAGTCAGGTAGTCAACCACTAGAAACTTTGCCATCACCGTCCTTATCTGAGGTTCTTCCCTAAGAGTCACGGGCAAGTTGATTGTGTTAGTGAATGTTATTGTATGCCCTAGAAACCATTCGTGTTATCAGTTTCAAAGCATTTTGTCTTGTATCAATATATCATAAATAATAGAAGAAAGAGTTCTTCAATTCATATATATAAATTGCTTACTTTATTCAGTCATGCATTTAAAATAAAGTATGTATATGAATTGTCCATATGATTCATTTAATCAGTAAACGAATTTATCAAAAGGTTCCCTACGGAAGCAATATATAATTTGGGGAATTATATTACATAGTAGGCATACTAGATGCTTCTGAAAGATATCATGAGTTGATATAAGTACAGATGACGATGATAATCATGTCACTGAGGCATTAGTATGGATTAGTGGTTGGCGAACTATTTTTCGAATGTGACCGAATAACGACAAATAACTTGGAAAAGCATGTAGTCAATGATTTATCGTTTGGTTATATCAGTGCACGATGTAGTCCTTTGACCTGAGACATTGTAGTCGGATCTGATATGGATGCGTATGGTTCATATGGTGTATAAGTACGAGACTAGACATGTTTCGTATGATAAAGCCTATGAAAAAAAACGAACGATGGTCAAGACGGAATCCATTGACTTGGAAATATAGGATTAGGTGTACTGTTGACTCCATCCGAATCCGGGTTCCTAGACGAATGTCGATAAATGTTGGAAATCAAAATCTCTGGCTAAAGTCTATTATTAGTCATACGAAAGTAAGTTCGTGATGACAAGTTCCGGACATATTGATCAACGATTCAGTAGAAGATTGGGTTTAGGATTTTGACATTCCATGAATCTATACTCGATCAAGATATATCAATGGAGGGACTTTACTTGCATTGTACATATGTTCTAAAAAGGGTTTGATGAAGTATTTCTTCATCATGGTTTAAGGACTATGGCACATTGCTAGATGTTTACCATAATCGTTGGGCCTCCGGACAAGTTTCTGGATTCATCCAAAATCGGCTTATGGCTAATCCACGATGGATCTACATGGTCACACCAATAGCCTTGAGAAGTTAGAGAAGGATAAGAGAGAGAAATGATTATCCGAAGAGGGCTAGCACCTTCCGAGGTAATGACGAAATTTCTATGGTAATTGTTACATAGTAAATTATTCATGACATTTTAAAGGTTAAAATGGTCAAGCAATAATTAATTGTATTTAATTATTATATCTTAAAGTGTTAAGATAAATGAGATGAAGTAAAATAACCTTTTAATAGTTAAAGTGCAAAAGAGTAAACTTACGGGTTGTTAATGTAAACTAGTGTAGTTTACATGGGCCCTTGAATAATATTGATTATTCTAAGGCCAAATTAATAAATGCTTGGGCTCCTTTTAGAATAAGATTTTATTAGGGCATACAAGTGAAAAGAAGGAATTACAAAATGACCCATGTATATATAAATGCAAATGGTTGCATTTTAGGTCAAGTTGTTCATTGTTCACTCAAAATAAAAACACAAGCTCTCTCTTAGGTTCGGCAAACCTCTCTTTCTCTCAAGGAGGTGTTAAAGTGTGGAGAATTCATAGCTTTGAATATTAGCTTAATCAAACCTAAGCTTTAAGGAGAAGGTATAATGTTAATTTATGCTTTATTTAAAGTTTTGAATCCTATAATCTATATCTTAGCTTGCATGTCTTGTTTACATGCTTTCCATCATTTTTCTACCACCTCTTCATGGTTTTTCAGATTGTTCCCTTAGGGACCAAGCTATCCCCAATGAATCCATATAGCGGCGACAGACATGCCCTCATGTCTCATTCTATGACCTCATTTCTCATAAAGCTCCCAAGAAAATGATGTTCGTTGCACTGCCATTGTCGACCATTACTATGAGCACTCAGGCTGTAACGCCCCACCTGAGGTACGTAGTTATTGTTTCTTCTTTCGCTCTTATTTGAGTTGGTTTTTGGTATTATTGTTTGATTGAGTGTTGTGTTGAATGCTTGCCCTGAAATTGGTTGAAAATAGAAGAAGTTCAGTGTGCCAAGCTTCGCTGGGGCGAAGAAGAATCTTCGCCGTGGCGAAGATGTGTTGAAACCACGGGGAAACTCTCTGGATAGTTTCGCCGCGGCGACAGAAGCTTCTTCGCCGCGGCGACAGGCCGACCAAAATGTTTGTTAAGTTTTAGATATTTTCTTCCCTAAGGGCAATTTGACCATTCTACCCCTAATTAGCAGGAAAAGTGGGGAGTTAATTGTAAGAATTTTTCATGGAGAATATGTTGATATGGGGGAGTGTTTGTAATGAATCAAAGGATATAGATAGAATTCCCAAAGAAGAGTAAGGGCAAAATGGGAATGCTTGTGTATAAATTTCATTAAAAGGAATTAAGTCATTGCAAACCCTTCATTCTTCTTCTCCATTGCCACTCTCCTCTCTTGCTTCCTCTCAAATTCTCTTTCTTTTGATCAAGGAGTTTTAAAGGGCTTTTGGAGTGATTTGGGGTAGAAAATCAACCTAAGGCATCCTAAGAGTAGAGAAAAAGTCAAGCAAACCAAGTGAAAGGAAGAGTTAGTGAAATCTCTCCATAACAAGGTAAGTAAACCCCAACCCAAGTTGAGATTTGGGAATTTTCTTGATTAGGGTTTTGATAGCACTTATGTATGTATGTTATATACATGTTATATGCCATGTTATTGAGGCTTAAATAGAGATTTCTAGTGCTTTGTGATTGTTTATACATTGCAAATATAAGAAGTGAGATGTGGGTTGGAAAGGTAGTTTGGGATGGAATTGAAGGGTATTGAGGAATCCTTTTGGAAGTGTCTTTCTTTGGCAGGATATGTGGCTATGTGAGGGGGTTTCTCCCCATTTTGGATGGTTAGAGAAAGATTTAGAATTATTGTTATAGTAGAGTTTTATTATGCACTTGAGTTGTTTGATGAAATGCCTAATAGAGGTTTGAGTATGAGTAGTGAACCTTAATTCTTGCAACATTGCATGTTGGCATTTCATAAGTGCATTGGTGGAGATGAACCATCCATAGGCACTAATTGTGCATTGAAAAGTGACCTAAGAAAGTGTAGGAAACTTGTGTGTGCAATTACTCTATGAGTAGAGAGCTTGGTGGATGCAACTACTCTAAGGATAGAGAGGATGAAAAAAATGCTAGAATAGAGTAAATTAGAAGAGTAGTGGAGATGGGTTGATGCTTTGTGATCATCACCCGACAGTTTTGGGAATCGGGTTGATGCTTGGTGATCACCACCCGAATAGCCCTTAGAGACGGGTCGATACTTTGTGATCGTCACCCGATGAGTAGTAGGAACAGGTGGATGCTTTGTGATCCCCACCCGGTTAGTCATTAGAGAAAGGGTTGATGCTTTGTGATCATCATCCGACATTTACTAGAGGTGGGTTGATGCTTTGTGATCATCACCCGACAGTGACTTGAGACGGGTTAATGCTTGGTGATCGTTACCCAAAAGTCATGAGAAACGGGTAGGTGCTAGGTGGTCTTCACCCGATAGTTACGAAAACTGAGTAGATGCTTCGTGATCCCCACTTGGTAGTCACTAAGAATGGGTTCGTACTGTGTGAATTCCACCCGATAGTCATGGAGAGTGAGATGGTACTGTGTGAACGCCATCCGGCCGTACCTCCGGTAAGATGAGGCCATGACGTTTAGTCGAAACAGAAAAAGAAACAGAAATAGTATAAGGAAAGAATTAAGGGTAATACATACGGGGACAGACAGATAGAGGGTTTTACTTACTGAGCAATATTTTGTGCTCACCCAATTATTTTCCTTTGTGGATGCAGGATCTAGGTGTTGATGCAGTCGGAGGGGCGTCGGCAAGCGAGGAGCAATAGCTACACTGTTTCCCCTGTTTTGTCTTTTAAAATGGCATTTTTGTAAATGACGTTCTTTGTGTATAAAAGACATATGACTTATAATGAAAAGAAAGTTTTGGGCCCAATTTTCTATTGTTATTATGCATGCATTGTACTAGTTTTCAGTAATCGTTACACAGGCATTGTCGATCCTTGCTATGATAACAATCGCATCATGGTTGTGGTGAGGAGATTGTTCACACTCTTCCTTGGTGAATCCTATCACCTCGCTTTCTTGCCTGGGCCACTTCGACGGCTTTTGCTCACAGCTCATTACTTGAGAAACCGAGTCTATCCTGGCCTCTCGTGCATATTGCTCGTGAGAGCGCTTGGAGCTCCTTGCAATGTCGGGTCCCCCATAGATCATACCCACCAATACATCATTGTTCGGTGAAGCTTGTTGGACCTGATTATTCTTCTCGCTTGGATTTTTGCAAGCTAGCGCCTCCTTGACAAATTCTTTCAAGTGGCCTCTTCTGATTATATCTTCAATGGCATTCTTAAGAGCCCGACACTCATTGGTGTTGTACTTGATGTCTCGGTGGTACCGGCAGTATTTTTTGCAATCTCTTCTGCCGGGTGGCCCCCTCATTCTTTCTAGTGCGGCAGTTTCTTAGCTTCACAAGAGACTTCATATATGTGAGCTACATCTTGAGTCAAGGGGTGTACTCTGCATACCGCATAAAAGGTTTCTTTTCCCTGTGGTTTTCTATTCTTCGTCTTTTTTTGGAACCTATTTCTATCCTTATTGTTGTAATCTTGGCCCTTCTGTTTGTTTGTTGAACGATCTTGTCGCTTGTCAAGGGCTCGTCTAGGTGAGCTTCTTGCCAAGGCCACCAATGAGCTTTCTACTAGCTGGTGTTTGGCGGCCATTTAATAGAACTTGGCCAAGCTTACATGGTCTTCGCTCTGAAGCTCTTTCCACAGCTCTGTCTACAGCCTTATTCTCACTATTAGCAAAGTTCAGATTAATTCCCCAGGTGCATCCACGACCTTTGCTTGTTCATTCTAAAATCTCGTTAAGTACGAGGTTAGAGTTTCATATCTTTCCTGACGAATATTGCTCAGATAGCTAAGCGACATTGCGAATTGTCTCCTCACTTGGAATTGTTGTAAGTACAACAATGAGAACTATTACCAAGACTATATTGAGTTTGCCTTGAGCCTTTTGTACCACCTTTTGGCATCCCCTACTAAAGTGACTTTGAAATAGCGCCACTTTGCCAAGTCAGAGACCTGTTGTAGCTCTATCAGGTCGTTAAAAGAGTCAAGGTGGTCTTTGGGTCCCCTTTCCCATAGAACTTGCTCTCTGGTGGCCTGAATCCCTAAGGGAGCAGGGCCTGATGAACTTCCTCTATAAATGGAGAACTCGCTATTTCTTCTGTTGTTAAAAGAGTCAAGGTGGTCTTTGGGTCCCCTTTCCCATTGAACTTGCTCTCTAGCGCCCTGAATCCCTAGGGGAGCAAGGCCTGACAAACTTCCTCTATGAATGGAGAGCTCACTATTTCTTCTGCTACATTATTCAAGCATTTTTGTTACCCAATCTAAGTCCTCATCATGAGGAGTACTCTGGCTACGAGCTATGTTCAACCTTACCTCGAGCAAGTGAGTTCGGAGATCAATTGCTTATGAGCCTTCTCTATCGTGTGCATTGGTGCTCGAGGTGGAGTCATGATGGCTGGGTTGATAGGTGCTATCATGCTCATATGTGTGTTGCTCAGGACATTGGTTAAAACCAAAACATCGCTAATCTAGCAACAATGAACCCTATGCTAGATTAGCGTGCGCGACTCAACTCGCGAGCTTGCGAGGTTTGAGCCTGCATTTGGCATGGGTTAAAACCAACATGTTGGCGTTGATTGTTTCGCTGATTAGGGCGAGCATCCCTTTGTCAACCATCGGGTTCATTTCCCCCCATTGATTGTTTGCCTGGTTGCCTCTCGGGGTTAACTTGCCTACGGGATTCACGCACGTGAGAGGAATACGCCTTGTGGTGTTAGGGTTGACGGTCACTCCTTGGTGCTAACGAGCCAGGTTGGTCGTTGATTGAGCCATTCCAACCTATTGGAGTAACTTTCGTGAAGTGTGGCTGGTCAAGGTCCTAGTGGGCTGGCTGCTAATTTCTTAATTCAGCCACATTTTATTACATTGCCTGTGCAACCATTGTTCTTATCATTTCCACCAGCTGACCATTCTTGAGATTCGAAGTCCCTACCCCCTACTGGTTTGCAACCTACTGCACTAGCGGCATTGGTGGTTGGTGTGCTGTCGTAGGCACCCAGAATTAAAACCCTAAAAATACACGCAGTAGTGTGAGTAGGGATCGCTCCCACGGAGAGTGTCTAGCCGAGTTTTATGTTACGTGAACCAGTATGGGGGGGGGGGGTGGGGGGGGATTTGAGTACAAACCAGAAACAATTTCAGGAAAAGAAATTCAACCTAAATTACCAAAATCAATAAAATAACGAAACTTGGTCTAAGTCAACATCCACCATCGAAATCTTACAACTGATCATTGATGCAAAAATTAATCAATTCTTACTCTGAGTATTCGTCATTGGAACTATTTTCCTATCTCTCCTTAGTTGCAGTTAATTAGGAAACAAGCAATCTAATTAATCTTACTACTAAACAACCCTAGACAAGCGCTAAAGATTTAATCTAGTGGCAGCCTTAAGAACTAGAGAGATCGATGAAGCTAAACAACACAAACTCAAGCGGTTGTATTTAATTTAGTTGAATGTTCTTCTTAAGACTTAATAATTCCTGACGGAGCAAATTCTTAAACCCTAATTGCTTCATAAGTTAAAGGGATCAAACAATTACGGATTTGATATCTAACTTAGCAGTGGATTGCAACAAATAATAAACTAGTAGGCCTCCTAGTAATTAGACGCAACAATCATGACAATATGCATAGAAGAACATCCAATACTCAAAACATAAATTGAACACTAAAAAAATTAGATTAGATCTCACAGTTTTATTGATTCCTAGGTCTCCGTTTCCTTCGACCAAGTTATGAAAATTAGCCACTCATGGCCATCACGAAAATCAAAAGAAAACGAATTCAGAAGAGAGGAAGAGAGGCGTGTGTGATCTCCTCCAATCTGATCTCTCTCTCGTCTTAAAGATATCCAATTCAAATTGAAGTATTTGAATTCTAATAAATCTCTTAAAAATATTCTAATATCCTAAAATAATATTTATCCTAATCTGATTCTGATTAATTGAAAATAAAATAAAATCCTAAAATAAAATAGGAAAGTGGTGTGTCCAGCTGTAACTTGCGTGCAACAGGTCTTCAAATCTTCCAATAATAAACTGCCTAATTGAATTGCATGACAAGGCGGAATGTTCCAGAATGTCAGCAATACAGGTGCATCAACTTCAAGCCCGATTACAACCTTGATGCAGCCAGTATCTCTCCAAACTTAAAACATGAAAGTTGTAGATATATTTCTTAGGGTTCCACAGCATTTTTAATCATCTCAATCGGAGCTCGGATGAGAGAGTTATTCCCAGATTACGAAGCAATGTCAAAACTATCCGAATTCACCTAATTAGTTCCGTTCTGCATTTAACGCCTCCATTTGCCTCCTAAATCAAAATAGAATAATAATGAGTACATTTAGGCAACAAATAAGTATAAAAGACTAGACATTAAGGGGGGTAAATATGACATTTTGCATTCTCATCAGTGGTCAACCTGGAGGAGCAGTCTGATGCACCTCCTGATTAGCGGTTTCCACGTTGTCGTGGTTTCTAGTGGTGGTTTTCGATTTGGTATGGGCCATTTGAAGTTTTAGGTGATTGGGTCATTGAGATTGATTGCCAGAACTTTTGAAAGTTGGAAAATGCCCTTCTTCTAGCGCCAAAATGTTGATGCAAGAATTACACCAACTAGGGTGATCCGATTGACCTTGGTGGAACCGGAACTAATGTGTGCATGATTATAGATAACCAGCAATGTAATGAATATAAAAGCAGTAATGTAAAAAACACGAAAGGTTTCTAAAGTGGTTTGGCAAGTTTGAATCTTAAGCCTACATCCACTGTTTTTCTTATTTGCTTAGAGAGCTTACAAGAAAATAATATAATGCCTTGAACAATTTGCTAACCCCTTGTCCATCGTTGGAAGGGGCTTATATACAAGTTTTTCGAGAAAGAAATAGAAAAATTAAAGGAATTACAATTAAAATTGAAATGCAACCCCGATATTCTGGCGATTGAGCGCTAAGATCGCACCATTATTGTTGTTAATCTGATCTCTTCTGAAATATCTGGGATCTGAGTTTATCTGTGATTTGATTGAACAATTGTCAGAATTGGTCACGACTAGCTTATGTTAGGTCTGACAAGTGTTGAATCGAATTAATTCTAGGTCAAACTATAATCTCGCGGAACTCTGACTTTTTTGAGCTAAATGAAAAATCACACATAACAATATATATGTGATTTTTTATTAAAAAAAGAAAAATATTAATATTTGGTTAATATTTACTTAGAAGGATAATTCATAATTATTAACATCAAGAAAACGGACCACAGAATTTTGAGTGGTGTTTAGTAGATGAAGGGCTCGTATGGGACCATCAATTTGTTGACATGTGTAAAAAGAGCACGGTCGAAGAAGTTTCATGAGGCATCGATCAAGTGCGGTGTGTGCGCTTTTTACACTACACAAATTGATGTATCCTCTGCTTTACATTTGTCCTCTTATTCTTGTTCTTCACCTCGTCTCTTTCCATATCTTTATCGCATTCCAGTCCCGTTAAATCAATAAAAAAAAACATATTTCAAAAATTAAAATATTTTCTTTTTAATTTTAAATCTAAACATATAATTAGTTTAGTTCTTAAGATTTTATATTAAACTTGTCTTCATAAACATCTATACCCATTTTCAATTTTCATATTTATAGACACATAATTTCGGAAATTATATCAAATAGTCTTTATTTTTTTTCTTGAGTTGAAAAATAGCCATTTTGAAGTATTAACTCAACTATTTGATATAATTATCCAAAAGTAGTCATCAAGAAAACATTATTTAAAAATGAAAATTTACAATTTTTAAAATTAATTAAACTCAAATATGACTTGTAAAAGGTTTCCAATATATATGAAAATTGTGATTAAGAAATAATGCAAAATTTAATTAACATTGGTTACTAAATCTTCAAATAATGAAAATTAGTTATGAAATAAATAATGAGTTCCACCAACAATTTTAATTAACGTCACAGTTAATAAACCTTCTTTTTAATTCTTAATTTGAGCTAGCTCAGATTACTCATTTTAATTAGCATTTAAAATTATTGAGAGATTCCTTGTTTAATTATTAAAAAATTATGAAATTAATTTAATTAAGCATTAACAAATTAAAGAGCAGATGGGTATAATTGTTATTAGCTTCTTAGGGAAATAATTGAAACATCAATATAATAATCAGTTACATGTCAATCAGTCTACAAATTAAAATTAAAATTAATACTTGGGAATTATAAAATAAACATACTAACGTGTCGCACATTTGTCCTACAGAACTTTCTTATATAGCCAGATGCACCAATTAATAATAAGTGCATTA